TAAGCTTTACCGTTGCTTTCATGAGCTTTAGAAAAGGCAACAAATTGTGTTTCCATATGATGTGAACAACCCAATATATTTCAGTTTGGGGGGAAAAAAATAAATCAAAGGAGGACTGGAATATTCATTTATTTAAAATATTTTTACCCCAGTTTTCTCCTTTAAAAGGATTCAAGGTGGCTTACATCATTAAAAGACAACATTTAAAAGCTAAAATTTATGCAGATATTAAAAAGAATAAAATAAATATCATACTAAAAGTGGTAAGCAAAATCAAGATCAAAAACAGAGTTGAAGTAAAATCAACCCCAAAATAGATTCAAAGCAACAAGGCAGAACACTCCATTTAAAAACCCCTCCCAGACAATGTATTCGCGAAGGCTTTCACGGCCGGGATCTAATGGTTGTTGGAGGACAGCAAACAGTTTGCTGTCCTCTGAAGATGCCGGCCACAGAGACTGGCGAAACGTTAGGAAGAACCACTTTCAGAACACGGCCAAGAAGCCTGAAAAACCCACAACAACCACCCTCCCAGACAGTCGATTACTATAGCAAGCTATCTTGTTGTGTAATCACAGCAAGAATAATACTTTTCATGGTGGGCAAAGATTGACTATGTGAATATTAATGAAATTAGACCACAGTCTGATATAAGTCCTATTGGATTTATTGGAGGTTACTCCTGGGTAATAGAATTGCAGTGTAGGTCCCTTTTTAAAACAAGCAAACGAACAAAAAGCCTGAGAACTAGTATTGTGGAACTTAAGCTTGTATGGATCGGTATGAAAGCTTGTGAATGAGATCGGCCAATGTAAATGAATGCTGGAAATTTTCAGTAGTGGTCTTAATGTAATTTTGATTTGTTTTGCCTGTAACCAAACAGGGTGTGCTGGCAGCTTCCTTTAGCAGTCCAAATAGTTGTGATTACAACCCGTACAGGCTCCTGAGAATATTTGAGGCTGCCAAAGGACAGACATTATCAACAACTTCGGACATGCCTGGCATGGCCTCCATCCCTTTCTAGTTAGAGTTCCATTCCTAGGAGTAATGTTATCAGTAATGATAAATGGCAATTAATAGGCAGGAAATAGCTTGACCTAGGCTTTTTTCATCAGGAACAGTTTCTTTGTGGTTCCACAGCACAAACTCTCTCTACATGTGATGCTGTTTGAGGAGTTAGGTGAAAGCTGGCAATTACAAGACCCCTACCCTGGCTTTCCTCTCCCTCGCAAGGCTCCAGAGGCCAGATATTTTCAAAGAGGTCTTTGTTTATATAATGGTGTTTGAATTAGAAACTGGTTTAGCTAGATGACTGTGTTACAGTTTCCTGAGTCCTGGCGTAGACAGTAGATAGAGTTTCAGTTTGAAAACAAGATACATTTTCAAAGCAAAAGCTCTCAACTTCCTAACAGAAAAACGTGCCGTGTGGATGTGGGAGGTGCCCTGTGTGACGGGGCCGACTCTATCAATAGGCAAAGTAAGGTAACTGCCTCAAATGGCAGGTATGATTTGTTTATTTATCATATTTATATGCTACATTTTCCCCACCTTTCTCAAGGCAGCTTGCAAAATTGTTAAAGAATAATAGAAAACTAAAATTCAGTAGATTTACAAATGCTAAAATAGAATTAAAATTAACTATAATATTAAGATGTAAACACTTTAAAATATATGACAGTAGAACCATTTATCTCCGAGAGGTGGTGAGTGCACGGATGCTGGAGGCATTCAAGAGAAAGCGAGCTAGCCAGCTGTCATATACTTTGAGGTGGATTCCTTCATTGAGCAGAGAGTTGGACACCTTGCTCTTAGAGGCCTCTTCCAACCCCATTATTCTGTGATGCTTTCATAAGATTAAAAATACTAACAATAGTTTACCTTTTGAAAAGATATTGATTAAAATCTTATAATTTGAGTCACTTAGGAGTTATATACATAGGTTCTGTTAAAGTGGGTTTGTATGGGCTAAATAAGGGTGCTTAGTGAGGCTCCAGTGCTTTGGCCATCTCATGAGAAGAGAAGACTCCCTGGAAAAGACACTGATGTTGGGAAAGTGTGAAGGCAGGAGGAGAAGGGGACGAGAGAGGACGAGATGGTTGGACAGTGTCATCGAAGTGACCAACATGAATTTGACCCAACTCTGGGAGGCAGTGGAAGACAGGAGGGCCTGGTCCGTGGGGTCACAAAGAGTTGGACACGACTAAATGATTAAACAACAACAACAAGGGTCAGGAGTGTGATATGCCATTTGGCACATCAGAGTTCAAGTGTCCCTATTTGGTCCAGCTCCTTCTAGTTGGAATTTCCGTGGCACATCAGAGCTCAAGTGACCCTATTTGGTCTAGCTCCTTCCAGTTGGAATTTCCAATATTGCAAAGTGACTTAATAAGCAAGCTGCTTCAGGATATCAGTAAACTGTACACTTCCTCTGATCCTTCGTGAGGTCAGAGAAGTGAATTTTTTTAAAAGACTGTCCTGTCCCTCATGCACTGCATCACTTATAAAACAAATATTTTAAAATATTTTCTTTGCCTTGTCTTAGAGGGCCAGACAAGAAACTGCCCACAGCCAAATGTTAATTTTTTTAGTAATGTTTTTGTTACTCATAAATGTAACATTATCATTATACTGCTTAAAGTAACAATGCTGGCTTGTTGCTCAAAACAGAAAGGTGCTCAATGATATCATTACATTTGACAAGATACTTCCAGGCTCTGATTCAGCATTGCAGGAATGAATGTTCACATGTTGTTTTCCTCTTCTTCCCTTTACAAAATCTCTCATGGCCTCCCAGATCACTCCAAAAAGTACCTCTCAGCCTTCTGAATCCAATTTGGGAGTGTGAGGTGCTACAGAGATAGAGGACATCCACAGATAGATGCCACCCCACGCATGAAAGTTGGATACAAACCTGTAAAAAGGATAGAGTTACACTGCCTACTGAAAGACTCAGGAGAGTCTTACAAAGCCCCTAAGACTCCCCCCTCACTGAAAAAAAAAATCCAGCTCTCAAAATGGATAATTCCATTCTAGAAGCTTCCAGGAAGCATCGTTCTCCATTTTAGTACTATTTTGAAGGCAGGGGGCAGGATCTTTTAGGAGGGGTGGGAGTGGCCTCCAAACTTCCGCCATTCCCCTCCCCTACTGTAAATTTATCACTGTTTACTTAGGAAGCATACATGACATCAACATTCTTATAAGAAAGGATACATGAAATCTTTAGGTACACCAGGTTAGAGGCAAGTATACCTCTGTTCTCAATCATCTCAGAATGCCGGACAGATAATAATAGGTTCAAGTTACAGGAAGCCGGATTGAAGTTCAGTATCAGGGGGGAAAAGTCTGAGATGTTAGAGCAGTATGACAATGGAACCAATTATCTTGGGATAATTAAGCAACCATCTGTCATACTTTGATTTGAATTTCTTCATTGAGCAGGAGGTTGGACTTGATAGCCTCATAGGCCCCTTCGAAATCCATTATTTTCTTATTTCTATATTATTCCCTTTTTCTCTTGGATTCTATCATGGTCATTGCATTTTAGACCCATGGTTTACCACAAGCAGCCAGGGTCAAAACAACTGGCTCATAGAGCATGGGTGTGTGCAATGTGATAACACAGATGGGTCAAACCCCCAGTTCCTCTTACATTGTAATAATGATTCAGTTGATGCACAGTAGATGCACCATCTCTCTCCCAACACAGTGGCTGCCTTATTTTTAAAAAGGGACAGGGAGATTTGACATTACTTTCCAATGTTTCACTTAGTGTGATCCTGAATGTTTCTGGGAGGAGGGTTTGTCAGGGTTTCTGACAAACCCAAAGCTAAGGAAAGAGGCGGAAGAAACTGAACTTGCCAGCAGAAGACCACACTGTCTGTAGCCCTGTACAATTCCATGCAGGGCAACATATGCAAAGCTCCCTCTAAAACTGCTCCAAGTTACAGCCAAAGGCCCAACTAGCTTTTAAAAGTTGTGCTTCTAGTGCAGATAAATTTTAGCCCCCACCCTCTTATTTAGAGGGGTACATTTTGTTCCTGGGAAATGAGGTTTTAAAAAATCAAACAAAGTCTGAGCTTCGCAGCACACAACTTTGCACTAAGTGTGTGTGGTCATCTCTCGCATGAGAAAATGTCATTAATTTTTAAATAACTTATCTGTATGATACCATCTTATCAGTCCATTTTTTGCACCCAGTTACTGCCAACATGATTTTCGCACCTCCTCCAGCATTTTCTAGCTAGAGGGGAGAGCCCCCACAACTGCAAGAGGGCAACCACGGACGGCCAAGTGGGGGTGGGAGAACAGTTTCTTTCATGCCATGTCTGTTCACAGAAATGCATGCATCTGCCAGATCATTTGAATTAAATAGCCACATTTCTAGGCACAACCTTGTGAACTGAAGTCGCTCTTTCCCACGTTACATGGTACATTAAGCACAATTCCAATCATTTGTGAAAGGGGCTCATAAAACTGTAACCTGAGTAACCAACTGCCTAAAGCTCGGGTTGGGAACTGCCTGCGAGTGGAAACCCAGTTTTCTCCCCCCACCCCGACCCCATACCTTTCCCATAAACCAATGAATTTCCACAGGTTTGGGAGTGCAGACCAGGTACTGCATTCTGCTTAGACACCAGTCTTGCTTTGTTATAATTTATTCTGTATCTATGTTCTTAGAATAATGGCTTAATTTGTGGCAAAATTAAAATTAGTAAAGGCAAAATATTGCACATTAAAGATTAACAGATTTACTTCAGAGTGAGCTTTCATGGGTCAAAATTCACATATTTTTGGTGTCCTGAAGAAGTAGATTTTGACATACAAAAATGCACTTAGAAATATATCTGTTAGTCTTCAAAGTGCCACAATATTTTGCTTCCCACCCCTCTTCCCCCCCTCTTTTAATTTGCCTACATGTTGATGGAGATTAATGTGGCTATTTCGTTGGAAACTGACTAGCTGGTAGTTATCTGTTGCACTGCATTTTATGTCTGCTGTAGGTTGTCCTGGTCCCTTGTGAGGAAGAGAGAGAGATAGATAGACTGAAAGCCATCTTTGAGAGAAAGGTGTGGTATAAACAATGAAATGAAATAAACAGATGAAACTTCCAGTTGCTTGATTCAGATTTGCTTTGGCAATCTACAAAATCTGAATTTTCCTCTGTAAACTTCCATGTACTCTTAGGTCTGAGATCCAGTTTACACAGTCAAAAAGGACACCATGATACATCGTGACAGCCCCTAAGGGGACATACACTGGTGCCTCGCTTAACGAGTGCCTCATTAAACGACGAAACCACTATACGATGACTGTTTTGCAATCAAACAAAAACAGGACAGCCTCTTCTTGCAGACGTCATCTGAAAAGACAAAAGAAAATCCAGCCAAGGGGAGAAAAGGAGGACCAGCAAATTCAGGTACCAGTTCCAGTCACTGGATGGCCGTTCTTACAAAGGGTCACCTGGAACTGAAGCTGCCCAGGGAAGAGAAGCTGGATGATGCTGAGCCGATCAAAGGGCTCTGGTTCCCATCACCGTCTCTTCATCCATCCATCCCAACAGGGGTGCAATCACAGGAAATGTTAGTGAGAGGTGATGTTGAATCCAGGGAAGGTACGCCATAGGTTTTCCGTGACAGTGTATCCCCAATAAAGGTCAGGGTGCATCATACATCTTTTCTAAAGGGCAAATTGATTTGAGATTAACTTCCATTAAAGTTACTTCCGGTTCATAAGACATATTGTCTGTGTTTCTGAAATGATTTGTTTTGCAATTGTAGGAATTGGGTGGACGCGAATGAGGTGATGCATCAGCCTGTGACCTTCGGCATTTTCTTGTTACTGCCTTCTTTATTGTGTCTATATTCTTTTCATACTTTTGCCTTTTCTTGCCCTCCCTTTATGTGTCAGGATTTATTAATATGTACAGTATATATAATTCACTCATTAAAAATCCCTTGCACATAAGGAATCAATTTTTACAGACTTTAAATAGCTAGAAGGTATTTAAATTCTACTACCCATGATAGTGATTCATTCATCTATCAAAATATAAAATCTGTCACATGGTTCTTCTAATAGATACACATATGAAATAAATGCACACACGCACACACACGTGTACGCACTTACTTTCAAGTCTGCTTTTCCCACACCACCTCTCCAAATGGTATTCAGAATAAGCAGTTCAGTATGGAAAATGAAATGTCTGAGTGAATTGATGTTCGTCAAATTTAGAAAAACTAGAACAAATCAATGAACCACCCAGGAATCTAATATTCAGAGTATTCCCATACTCATAACATCAAACAGTATGGAAAACATTTTCAAGGTAAGCCCTCTGTATTTGGAAACTGGTCCCTAAAGGCAGAAAGATATAACTTTCTTGGCCTACCTGTTTAACAGAAGGGCTATGGTCTGCATGCACAATAGGATCAGGCTCATGCATAGCTCATGAAAATGTATGTTGAAAAATGCTGGCCACAGTCTTCTGGAAAAGGTGGTTGGTTGTCAGGGGTGGCCTGAGCATTGCAGGCATGGGACATCTGTTCCAGATGAGGGAACCTGCAAGGAACACTGCCATAAACGCTCCTGGATCTCCCAACAGACTATGTGACCCTGTGCTGCTCGGCCACTTGACGTTTGAGAGCTTGGAAAAGTTACTTCTGTGGACTTGGACTCGAATCAGCATGGCCATGCACCCTTTTTAGGTGGGGGATTCTGGGAGTTGTGTTTCAAAGCAGTACATTTCCCAAGAATTGATCTTTATAGATCTTTGGCCTGTGTTTGAAATCATTCTGGAAGTGGCTTGTGGCCTTCAAGAAAGGGCAGTGAGATGTTGGATAACTTGGCCCTTCATCAAAATGGTGTTCATTTGAATGAGCCATCTCTCTTGCATCAAATACTGAATTCTAGTCACTGGTCTGGATGCTGTCCAAAACAGAGCATTTTGTTTAATGCAGTGCAGGTGCTCTAGTAGTTGTGCAAACACTAGGAGAACCATTACCACAAACGAGCATTTATTTCAATAAGTTGGCAATGAGTTCCGACAGTGCTTGTGCAACGCCTTGTGCGGGTGGAAGCTTGCACAAGAGCAAGAAAGGGTTTATGCAGGCTGGCAAAGCTTTGTGATGATGCCATTGGATAGAACTGGAAGCACTTTGACCTGAACATTCAGTACCGTCCATTCTTTTGCTAGCATGGAATTAAGCAATATCTTCAATGTGGCTTTCCTTGTGTGTAGATTGGAAGGAGCCATCTGGAGCTGGAATGACTGACCAGGGTTCGAGATGTGAGAAGGATAAACCCCTGCTTAGTATCCTCCCATAATAAAGGTACCTGGCAGTGCAAAGAATTCCTCCAGAATGATTCACTATAATCGCCAATAAGTGCAAAATCTAGGTATACCTGCAGTGTCATATTTTAACTCTTTAGTTCAGCCTTCAATCTATGTTCCTTGCAAGCTGTGCACACGGCACTCACACAGAGCTCCATTGGGGTTGTGCACAGGCAGCCAGTGTGTGTGTGTGTGTGCGCGCGCGCGCTAAATTGTATCAGATAATCAATGTGTACATCTTCAATTAGACAAGAGTATCTCATGGAAACCTAATTAAACACATACATGCGGCCTCTGTGCTTAAAATCAGTTGTTCCTCATGCTATCTGAATATCACTTTTCAAAATCCTGAGCACTTACCAGTATTTGTAGGGTTAAAGGAGAACACAGATACTGGTATCTACAAAAGTCAGGTACAAGTCGGTCTCTAAAGCTGTCAGTTTTGGAAAACCACTGCTTTTCATTTAGCTGCCACCCTACATTTTGAACTCATTTTAAGCTATTCAAAGCAATATAAAAATGCAGAAACTCCTGGTTTATACCCCGGCTAGAGATCACGCCTCATATTTCGTCTCTGGGCAAGACCTCTGTTTCCTAGCTACCAGGGGGAATGTTCGCCAGTGACTTAAAACAACAACTGCTCAAAACAATTCAAACAAAGAAGCAAAATCCATTGTGCTTCCTAGGTAAAAATACGTGTTTGTGTGTCTGTCACTCTTCCCCATATCCCAGTGTTTCTGAGATAGTACTTATGAAAACTCTTGTCTTAAAAAATGCATTAAATGATCAGATTACTGTATACATCAAATGAGGAAAAAGCAAGGAAAACTTGGCTGAGAATGGAGGGTGAGTAAAAGGGGGAAGAGGGGCCGGGGGAGCTCTTAACTATTTACTACTTGTGTTCTGTTTGGGTCCCGGCCTTTTGGTAGCTCAGATCCTTGTGGCAGTAGGATGTGTGTGTGTTAATGTATTCCTCCCACTAGACCCACCTTGCATGGGAAAGGCAACCGTAACAAAAAGCAGACTGTTCCTTGTTCATGAATATTAATCAGTAAACTCCCCTTGGTATTTTAAATGGGAGGCTACAACCCTAAAAAAAAAACCCACGCCCCCCCCCCTGCACCCGGCAGCACAGGGCTCAAATAGGACTGGAGGAGGAAAAAAACCAGGGGAAGTCCTGGGAAAGCCATGGCCAGGGAGGCAGCCCTGACTCAAGAGGCCTTCCAGGCAGTGACATATAAAACTCCGAGGTCAGGGGCCAGAGAAAGAGGAGGAATCGGCTTTGTTTCCGCTGTGTGTCACTGAAAGCTAAACCTTTCTGGAACATTCAAAGCTGCATTTTGGGCTATTTAACCTTGAAAACAAAAGGCTTATTTATTCCCAACCCCTAGCGCACACATACGCACACACACACTCTCTCTCTCGCCTTCACCAGGTTTTTTTTTGTCTCCTCCAGTTGACAGTGGTGACATATGAAGGGGACCGTTCTCCTCCTCTGCTAAGGCTCATGTCTGGGCAGGCCACATTAGCCTCTGTTTGCCCCCCCAAAGGAACAAGGAGGTTGTAGGAGTTCATTGGGGATTTCTGACTCTTGGGGGGGGGGAGAATCTGGGCTGAGATTCAATCCAAGATGTTGGATGGGAGAAATGAATTGTTTGGGTCTACAAGTTACAGACTGGGGACCGTTCTCCTCCTCTGCTAAGGCTCATGTCTGGGCAGGCCACATTAGCCTCTGTTTGCCCCCCCAAAGGAACAAGGAGGTTGTAGGAGTTCATTGGGGATTTCTGACTCTTGGGGGGGGGGAGAATCTGGGCTGAGATTCAATCCAAGATGTTGGATGGGAGAAATGAATTGTTTGGGTCTACAAGTTACAGACTCACACAGCCATCGGGGGGGGGGGAGAGAAAGAACTTGGCCAAGCTTAGGGAGGAGATGAACAACCATTTTCTCTCAGACAAATATGCTAAATTGGGGAAGATGGGAGTAATGGACCAAAATACAGTGGTGCCCTGCATAGCGACGATAATCCATGCAGCAAAAATCGCTGCAAAGCAATTTCGTCGCTATGCGGAAAGAAAAAGCCCATAGGAATGCATTAAAACCCGTTTAATGCGTTCCTATGGGCTTAAAACTCACCTTTAAGCGAAAATCCTCCATATGGCCGCCATTTTCGCTGCCCGGTAAGTGAGGAATCGGCGTGAAAGCACAGTGGGCGGCCATTTTGTTTACCCGGCGGCCATTTTGGAACAGCCGATCAGCTGTTAAAAAATCATGGCTTTGCGATGATCAGTAAGCAAAGGCATAGGCACCCTTCAGTCTCGAGAGACTATGGTAACATGCTCTGAATCGAGGAGTGTCCTCTGCAGAGCATGAAGCCCGGGTAAGGTAATATGGAGGATAGGCTGTTACCCAAGCAGCAGATCCCCCCTCTCCACATTGCTGAAATGGTCCAATGGAAAGGCAAGAGCCAATACAACTGGTTCCAGCAATGTCGCAGGAGCTGGCAGAACGACACGTGCTGCCTTCGGGACTCCAGCTCTGGATTTTGCCTCGAGGTTAACTCCTGAAGCCTTTTCCATGAATGGATATAGCCACAAGGCAGTGGAGGTTTGAAATTGGAGTTTTCCTTCTCCTAGATGGGCTGCCTTCCATGGCTGACGAGCCCCACCTACCCGGCAAATAGTGGGTAAGTATATAGCCACAAGGCAGTGGAGGTTTGAAATCGGAGTTTTCCTTCTCCTAGATGGGCTGCCTTCCATGGCTGACGAGCCCCACCTACCTGGCAAATAGTGGGTAAGTAAAATAGGGTACCAGTCATCGCAAAGCAATTTTTACCCATTTAAAACATCGCAATGTGAGCGCAAAAGTGATCGCAAAATCTTCGTTGCTATGCAGATTCGTCGTTAAACAGTGCTCCCGTTAAGCAAGGCACCACTGTATTAGGAGGGCCAGAGGTTCCCCATCCTTGCATAAAAAATGAATCCACAAATCTACTGCTAATGTGTAGATAGATCTGTGATCTCCCAAATTCCTTTGATTTGGAGCTGGTTTGCTCAGTGAGTGATTATTAGGCACCACTGTATTAGGAGGGCCAGAGGTTCCCCATCCTTGCATTAAAAATGAATCCACAAATCTACTGCTAATGTGTAGATAGATCTGTGATCTCCCAAATTCAATTCATTTGGAGCTGGTTTGCTCAGTGAGTGATTATTTAATAACCTCAGGATGCAGCTACACAGCAGGGAAAAATGTGCATTGATTTGTTCCTGTGTGGAAATAAGAGTTTCTGTGGGTGAATTAATTTTTGCTGTCCAGAAAGGATTCAGCAGAGAAAGAGGAGGAACTTACTAATCAGCACTTGTTTGCAGCTTGTTAAGGCAGTTTCTGGTATAGCCATCCAGATGTGAAGGCAGAGTGATGCTGGTTGGCAATGTCCTCCTTTCTCTCTGTTAAATTGGTCTTTTCAGTGCTCAAATGCAACTTCATTTCAGCACTGTCATGAAGCCTTAAAAAAACACATTTAGAGACAGGGGATGCGTGATTGAGGGGACG